TAGTGTTGGTCCTGGTCCCAGTGTTGGTCCTAGTGTTGGTCCTGGTCCCAGTGTCGGTCCTGGTCTCATTTGGTCTTTATTATGTTCCTGGTCCTGATTTTGATGAAAGTCTTCCACCTGGTTTTGATCTTTGTCTTGTTCCTGTATTTGTTACTTGTCCTGGTCCTGGTCTGGTTCCAGGTGAAGCGTCATTGTTCTGCTCTGATTGTTGAGCTTCTATCAAGTGGATCTGATTCTGCTGATACCTGAGCTGCAGCTAAAGGCCCCTGAGTCGGGTTTGTCTGAGTGGGGATTCCCTGAACTGTGAGGACGTCAGGACACACTGACACAAAGACCTCTGTAGAACCTTTTACAGCAGCATGAACCTCGGAAAGAAAACCAGAGATTTTAGTTCAGACCAAAGTCCATGGAGAAAATCAGAGATTTTAGTTCACTTTCCCACAGTGGGGAAGTGCAAGGTCTCACAGTTCAACAGAAAATTAATTTTAATGGTTTATTAAGCACAGTCTTTGTGCCAAAATCTGGTTCCCTCAACAGGGGGCTCCACCTACTGACCCTTTTTAACCAGGGTTAGTAAACAATTAACTTTAAAGACTATCACTACAAACAGAACCATTAAAAGAAAATGTAGAGTCCCTGCAGATACAAAAACTGTGTGGGAGAATTGTGTTTTTACCTTCAAACACCCACACACACACACACACACACACACCCTCCCCCTCCTCCGTCCTCCGTCCTTTGTCGTCTGTCCTGGTGACATTTAGGCAGATATAAAAACCCGTGGCGGACACTCTCAGCCTCAGCCAACCATCACTGAGCTGATCTGAAGCTGAAGGTCTGACTCTGCACACACACTCACGTGCACATTCGTTCACGTGCACATCCTCGCTTAGCTGTCAGCTGATCAGGGACTCTTGTGACATCATCATCATCATCATGTTTACCAGGTACGTGCTCTTTCTCTCCTTCCCTGTCCTCATGTTTGGTCCTGTCTGCCTCTGTGACCAAACCTCTGGATCTCTTCCCTCTGGTGGTTGGCTGCTGTAGTTCACAAGCCCCGCCCCTTCTCTGGTAACGCCAACAATATGGCTGTACGGTCTTTACTTGTTTGTGCCTTGTGAAGGAGCTGTTTTAAAAGCACACAGGTGAGTCAGAGACAGTGAGCAGCTCGTGAAGCTAAATGCTGCTAAAAGATAGCAGTATGCTAAACAAAAAGATGAAAGAAGTAAGACAGAAGTGAACGCTCAAGGCTCGCCGTAGCACAAACAATAAAAAATACGTCAGAACCGTTTGTTTAACGATCAGTAAAAACGAGCTTAAAGACTCCCATGATTGGTCAGAGAAGTTTGGAACCTGAGGGAGTTTGAAAATATATTTTACATCACAAGTGGAAGATTAAAAAGAGGATGGAGTTGGTAGTGACAGGACGTGCACTGATATGAAAACGTCGCCCCCCTGTGGACAGAAACCCTCTGACTGAAGTCGGTGTGTGTTTTGCAGGAATGTCATCTTTGTTTTGTCTCTGCTCGTTCTACTGGTGGAGGGAGACCTGGACTCTAACGGTCAGACCCAAAACACAGATCAGTATCTGGGACTCACTGATCAGTGATCATTGATCATTGATCATTGATCAGTGATCAGTGATCATTTATTGATTGTTTCATTGATTGACTGATTTTGTGAGATTTATTTGTCTTTGCAGACATCGGAATGGACGTTGTATCGACAGGTAGGTGACAATGAGGGAATATACATATTTGTCCTTGTGTCCCACCTGTCTCCAGATGTCTGCACCCTCACCTCCCTCTGGATTGCTTTCTTCTCTGTCTCCTGAAGGTCTCTCACCTACAGTTCCAACTCCCTTTTCTGTCCTCTGAACTGCACCTGTCTCTCTGTCCCCCAGTCATCTGTCCTCTGAACTGCCTCACAACTGTCTCTTTTTTTCCCGTCTCTTTTCAGACAAAGATACAACGTCCGATGAAGCTCCAACAGGTGAGGAACAAAGGAATAAAGAGATGAATTTTACTGAAAAAATTCAGGGCTTAAAGTCAGCGCAGTGTCGTCTGCATATGGAGGCATCCACACAGTCAGAGGCTCAGAATAATTCTGTGTAGAGAAAACCCCCCCACTGTCAGTAAACAGAACAGAATGAGCGCCATCTTCAGTTCAGACAGTGAAGAAAACAAATTCTGGTTGATGTTCATGATGACGTTTGTGTTTTCAGAGAGTATGAGCGCCATCTCTCCCGACCAGCCTGGTAAGAACACAGCAGTTGTATTTCTACCCTTGAGAGAAGTGTGTGTTGACTTTAACCCTTCACATCCCATGAACACGGTACTAAGGAACATTAGAAGAACTTCACATCACTGACAGAACTACAGATGTGGGTTGGAGGTTGAGAAATAGTACTTAGTACAATTATACAATTTAGCCAAAGCACCAACAACGATATCTAAAAGTGCCATCAAATCTATTATAAGATGAAGGTTGTTAGTACGACTCCATCAGTGTTAGCCTGAATAGCTAAATCATAGACATAAGGTTGTATTATTTATGGGTTTTGTTGTATAAACATATTAAAAATGTTACACAACAGCAAGGAACTAAAAACAAAATCAGCCAAATGTTACAAAAGTGCTAAAAGAGCCAAGAACAGGTGCTGAAGTTCATCCCTCACTGTATCTGTAACCATTTGGGTTGGATTTAAAAGAAAAAAACAAAACTCTACTGCATCATTTAAATAATTTCATTACAGCGCCCTCTACAGACAAAGATCAGGTGACCGTGTCAGTCATCACTTGTGTTACACTGACATCTGCTGGTTACTATCCGCAACACTTTTCATCATGTTTGCTGTTTATGAGTCAATCACAGAGGCCCTGTCCCTCCATGTGGTCACATGGTCACATGGTCCAGCGAGTGTTCAGATGTTGACGAGTCTTGAACTGATCATGTGTTTCAGACATCAGCAGCTCCAGTTCTGAGACACCAGACGGTAAATCCATTCACTCATCCATTCACTCATTCATTCAATCATCCATTCACTCAATCATTCACTCATCCATTCACTCAGTCATTCAATCATCCATTCACTCAGTCATTCAATCATCCATTCACTCAGTCATTCAATCATCCATTCACTCAGTCATTCCCTCATCCATTCACTCAGTCATTCAATCATCCATTCACTCAATCATTCACTCATCCATTCACTCAGTCATTCCCTCAGTCATTCACTCAGTCATTCACTCAGTCATTCAATCAGCCATTCACTCAGTCATTCACTCAGTCATTCAATCAGCCATTCACTCAGTCATTCAATCATCCATTCACTCAGTCATTCACTCAGTCATTCACTCATCCAGTAATGTATTCATCTATTTTGATGACGTTTTGCAGTTCCAGTAGCCAATCAGGTGACAGCAGCAGGTAACATGTTTCTTCACTCTCCTAATTTTCCTTTGCATTGATTGATTGATTGATTGATTGATTGATTGATTATAGAACCTGCAGCAGCTTCAACCAGCAGTGTGGAGATTGAAGATGGTGAGAACTTAATGTGTTACACACACACACAGACACACACACACTGAGGTGAAAACCATCAACCTTCTGACTTGGAGTCAGTGATGTCACTTCCTGTTTCAGAGGATGAGAGCAGTGACTCTGGAGAAGACACAAAGGAAATAGCCAGATCTCGTTCTGCCAAACCTCAGCCGGCGGCCCAGGTCCACTACAGTCCCCGGCTCCTCCAAATAAGTCCTGTCCATGTCCCAGTAAGCCCCGCCCTCCTGCCGACGCAGCCAATCATCCCCCAGCCTAAAGCTATGGTGAGGAGCCGTGCGTCCAAGAGGAGATCCAGAACCAGCCGCCGTCAAGTATAAGAAAAATAAACACACACACACTCCGAGCCATCTGATCGGTCATCGGCTCCTCTGATTGGCTGAGCAGACAGTGGTCAGGACTGTGCTCCTCCACTGATTCCAGAACCTTCAGACCTGTGTGAAGGTGTGCAGCTCCACCTGTGTGAAGGTGGAGTTTCTCTTCTTCTTCTTCTTCTTCTTTGTTATATAAACAAACAAATCCTCACAGGTTTTACTCTGTAGTTTCTGTCAGAGAAGTATTTGATTCAGTCATTAGCTGCTGTTAGCATGCTAACAGCCAATCATCTATTTTATCTCAGCGTGTATGCACCAATCCTGTAAATGACACAAAGTTTTCCGTTTTTTGTGTTTAAATAAAGTTTCCTCCAGAGGAAAATGTCCCCGTGTTTCAGCAGGTATTTTTATAAACCTCTCAGCTGAGTACTACTCCGACTGCAGTACAAAAAAAACACGTATTACTATAAAAGTGGCAAAGACAAAATGTCTGTGTTGGTTCTCAGTTACATGGAGGTCAACTAGACTGGTCAACTGGGCTGGTCAACTGGGCTGGTCAACTGGTGAAGATGTGTTCAACTCTGATCCCTGAAGCTTCTTCAGTCCTGACTTTCCTGATTGACATTTTGCAATTTGCTAAAAGTTTCATCATCAACAATCTACTGAGAATAAATCCAAAAAATAAATCAATAGCTGTGACCCCCACCTCAGCCCCCACCCCCCACCTCAGTCAGTCCTGGTCCAGACACCAGAGCTAACGTTAGCTACAACAGTCCTGGTACAGACGCTAAAGCTAACGTTAGCTACAACAGTCCTGGTACAGACGCTAAAGCTAACGTTAGCTACAACAGTCCTGGTACAGACGCTAAAGCTAACGTTAGCTACAACAGTCCTGGTACAGACGCTAAAGCTAACGTTAGCTGGTACAGAGCTTCAGATGTTGACTATAACAGCTGTAATTGTACTGCTAGATCTTAGTAAACTGTCAGTGTAGTAGACTGGTCACATCAACAGGTTGTTTTTCTGTATATATTTCCGTAGCCTATATATATGTATGTGTATACATATGTGTATATACATATATACACATATATATGTGTATATATACATATGTGTGTATATATGTGTATATATTCATATACATATATATACATGCATATATGTGTATATATACATGTGTGTGTATATTCGTGTGTGTATATATGTGTATATATACATCTGTGTGTGTATATATGTGTATATATACATATGTGTGTATATATGTGTATATATTCATATACATATATATATACATGCATATATGTGTATATATACATGTGTGTGTATATTCGTGTGTGTATATATGTGTATATATACATGTGTGTATATATGTGTATATATACATCTGTGTGTGTATATATGTGTATATATACATCTGTGTGTGTATATATGTGTATATATACATGTGTGTGTATATTCGTGTGTGTATATATGTGTATATATACATATGTGTGTGTATATATGTGTATATATACATATGTGTGTATATATATGCGTATATATACATATACATATATATACACATGTATATATGTGTATATATACATGTGTGTATATATGTATATTTATATGTATATTTGTGTATATGTGTGTATATATGTATATATATTTGACATCATCACCATCACAGTGGCTCTGTAGGAGAATCCTCAGTGTGGTTGTACCCGTGTTACAATGACAATAAAGACTGTTTGTTCTGTTCTGTTCTATTGGTGACAGTAATGTGTGTGTGTGTGTGTGTGTTGTCGCTGATTGATTATCAGAGAAGAGTGTTTGTGTGGAGGCAGCGTCCTCTTTGAAATGGAGACTTCTTTTCATCCTAACGTCTCTCTGCTCTCGTTTCCTTCCAGACTCAGGCCTCGGCCACAGAGAGGAGGAGGAGAAGAGGAGAAGAGGAGAAGAGGAGCCCCAGCTCAGCTGCCGGCCCAGTGAATCAGAGCTTTTCAGAGGAGGAGGAGGAGGAGACGTTTCCTCAGAACTTCACATTCAACAAAGTCAGAAGTTTGTTTGGAGTGAAGGTGACCTGCTGAGAGCGCCACCATGCTGCCACGGTGAGTTTCCTGTTGTCCAAATGATCATCTTATTTATTTTAAGACACATTTTAATCTCACTTTGTTTCTTTATATGGTTTAAAAGTGAACATTTAACCAGTGACGGAGGAAATGTGGGATTTGAACTTTTTCTGTCTCAGATCTTTTTGACTTTCGTTATGTCTGACCAGAAAAGATTCTCTGTCTCGACTTCAAACAAAGAATCTCAGTCTTTAACCCTTCGCAGGCTGCAGTCACCTGACCCTGGACACACCTGACTGGTCACTGCTGCAGCGTCCAACACACACACACACATATTATATATGTAAATGTATATATACACGTACATCTGTGTGCGCTCGTGGTTGTGATGTCATCGTTATCACAGGCTTTTACTTTGTATAATCCATGGAAATGAGTCTGAGTGTCAACGGTCAGAGCTTCTCTTCTCCTCCTTCTCCTTCTTCTCCTCCTCCTCTCTGTTTACAGACGATGCCTCGTGCGTCTCATCTTTGATGCAAAACATCACACAAAAGAGCAACAGTCAAATCAGTGTGTGTGTGTGTGTGTGTGTGTTTCCCACAGGTGTGTCTTGTTCCTCCTCCTGGCTCTTCTCGCTATTTCCACATCAGCTCCAGTTCCAGGTAAACATGACATCATCATCATCATCATCATCATCATCATTAATGACTGATCACTGTCCAGTGCTAAGCTACATGCTAACACATGATAGAGCTGTAAAAGACCTCTGGTTGGTCCCATGGTCCACTTTGAACCTGGTCACAACAATAGACATGTCTGGTTCTTCTTACCAGTGGTTCTCTGTCAGTCATGAAAACCAGGGTTCTGTGTTTCCAGACTCTCCAGACTCTCCAGGATCTCCAGACTCTCCAGACTCCCCAGACTCTCCAGACTCTCCAGGATCTCCAGACTCTCCAGACTCACTCTCCAGACTCTCCAGACTCTCCAGGATCTCCAGACTCTCCAGACTCTGCAGCCATGGCAGGACCAGACGACTCTCAACGTTAGTATGAATCGGTTCTACTAGCTCTCCTTGAACGGTACTTTTTGGTCACCTAACCCTAACCAGCAGTCCGGTACCCAACAATGACCTAGATCCAGATGTCATGTGGTCCACCTAGTGGTCACCTTCAAAACCTCCTTCAAACATCTGAGCCTAGACTTCAGCACTAGTCCAACAGGTGGACCAGTGGACCCCTAACCTTCCCCTGGTCCCTGTCTACATGAATAAAAGTACTGTCCAGGTGGTGGTCTACAGATGTTGGGAGGTTTGTGGACTCTGTTGCAATCCCTGACCCCTGACCAGTTGACCACTGAATGCCACAGTCCAGACGAATGGTTTACCAGGACTATCAGAGACTCAGGGACATCAGACCACAGTGGGGGGAGGGGGGGACATGGAGGACTCTTGTCCTGGGTCTTGAACCCGTGCGTCAACCACAGCTTGTTCCACAGTCACTCTTCACACTGACATTCTTCCTTTAGATTCTGGGAATGCTGCTGCGGCTTCAACGTCCGACAGTCCGAACACTGACAACCAAGGGAGCACCGACGCCACCTCTGGCAGCCAGGATCACAGCAGTGAGGCCACAGGAGGTGAGGGTGTTGAAGCCCAGAGTACTGAGGCGGGCGGAGTCGAGAATCACAGCAACGAAGCCGATGGTGCCAAGGACCAGAGCAGCGATATCGATGGTGCCAAGGACCAGAGCAGCGAGGGCGACGGTGCCGAGGACCAGAGCAGCGAGGACGACAGCAAGGACCAGAGCAGCGAGGACGACAGCAAGGACCAGAGCAGCGAGGTTGCCCGTGCCCAGGACCAGAGCAGCGAGGCCGATGGCTCCAAGGACCAGAGCAGCGAGGCCGATGGCTCCAAGGACCAGAGCAGCGAGGTCAGTGGTGCCAAGGACCAGAGCAGCGAGTCCGATGGTTCCAAGGACCAGAGCAGCGACGTTGATGGTGCCGAGGACCAGAGCAGCGAGGCCGATGGTTCCAAGGACCAGAGCAGCGAGGTCGATGGTTCCAAGGACCAGAGCAGCGAGGGGGATGGTTCCAAGGACCAGAGCAGCAAGGTCGATGGTGCCGAGGACCAGAGCAGCGAGGACGACAGCAAGGACCAGAGCAGCGAGGACGACAGCAAGGACCAGAGCAGCGAGGCCGATGGTTCCAAGGACCAGAGCAGCGAGGGGGATGGTTCCAAGGACCAGAGCAGCGAGGTTGCCCGTGCCCAGGACCAGAGCAGCGAGGCCGACAGCAAGGACCAGAGCAGCGAGGCCGACGACAAGGACGAGAGCAGCGGGGTCGACGGTGCCAAGGACCAGAGCAGCGAGTCCGATGGTTCCAAGGACCAGAGCAGCAATGTCGATGGTGCCGAGGACCAGAGCAGCGAGGTTGATGGTTCCAAGGACCAGAGCAGCGAGGGCGACGGTGCCGAGGACCAGAGCAGCGAGGACGACAGCAAGGACCAGAGCAGCGAGGTCAGTGGTGCCAAGGACCAGAGCAGCGATATCGATGGTGCCAAGGACCAGAGCAGCGATATCGATGGTGCCAAGGACCAGAGCAGCGAGGTCGATGGTTCCAAGGACCAGAGCAGCAAGGTCGATGGTGCCGAGGACCAGAGCAGCGAGGTTGCCCGTGCCCAGGACCAGAGCAGCGAGGCCGACAGCAAGGACCAGAGCAGCGAGGTCGATGGTTCCAAGGACCAGAGCAGCAATGTCGATGGTGCCGAGGACCAGAGCAGCGAGGCCGATGGTTCCAAGGACCAGAGCAGCAATGTCGATGGTGCCGAGGACCAGAGCAGCGAGGTTGCCCGTGCCCAGGACCAGAGCAGCGAGGCCGATGGCTCCAAGGACCAGAGCAGCGAGGTCAGTGGTGCCAAGGACCAGAGCAGCGAGGGGGATGGTTCCAAGGACCAGAGCAGCGAGGCCGATGGCTCCAAGGACCAGAGCAGCGAGGCCGATGGCTCCAAGGACCAGAGCAGCGAGGGCGACGGTGCCGAGGACCAGAGCAGCGAGGCCGACAGCAAGGACCAGAGCAGCGAGGTCAGTGGTGCCAAGGACCAGAGCAGCGAGTCCGATGGTTCCAAGGACCAGAGCAGCAAGGTCGATGGTGCCGAGGACCAGAGCAGCGAGGTCGATGACAATGATGATCCAAGTAGTGAAGGCAACGCCCCTGACAGTTTGAGCAGCGAGGTCGGAACCCAGGACCCAAGCAGCGAGGCCGATGGTGCGGAGGGTTCAGACGGCCACGACGAGACCGAGACAAACAGTGACCAGACCACTTCTGAAGGTAGGAGACGCCCTGGGGTAGGAGGGACCTTTAGGTTGGGGTTAGGGTTTCTGTCAGTGGGTCCAGAGACCACCATTCAGACCCAAACTGTTGGTATTTGGTTCTCCAGAACTTGTACACTGGTTCTACAACCTCAGACCTCCACTTCCTGTCCATGTGGCTGAAGGAAACCCGTGATTGAACCACGTGGACCTCCTGGGGTTTAGGTCTTAGTCAGATGTAGGTTCTCAGCTCCTGTCTCCAGGGTGTTCTGGGAGGTTCTAGGAGGACAGATTGTCAGTAGGACCAGGGAGACGGAGGTCCATCGTCCGAGGACATGTGTTCCATGGACATGAACATGGGCGCAAACCACTGTTTGAGAAACATGAGGGTCGGGTCAGTTCTGGTTTCAGTCCAGTGAAAATGACGTGGTCTCTCCTTCTCTGTCCTCTTAGAAGTGACGGACGACCAGGTGGACGACAGCGTCCACACTCCGACACCTCAGGGTAACGTTCACGCCCACTGTGATGTCACTCAACCTCTCAGCCAATCAGCATGCTCATGTTCCGTCTGTCCTCTGTTTTTCTTCTTTCAGCCGGACCTTGAGGCCGTGACCTCTGACCTGTGGACGCACCTCGACCACAGGTAACTGGTGTTGACGTTTAAAACACGAAAACAAACGAATAAAGTTGGTGGTTTATTTACCTAAGAACAGTAAAAACTAGAGGCCAGACTAACCAGTCCCAGGGCCACGACTCGCCCCAGAACCAGACTTTGAACCCAGCCGTCAGGTACCATGGGAAAAGAGAGTTCTGTTTTGGGGCCAGCGTTGAGTAACAACAACTTTTGTTCGAGGTGAATGAGAATAAAAACATTAAATTCTGATGTGTCTCTTTTGTTTTTTATGTCAGAGCCAAAACCTGCTGCCTTCACTGTGGAATAACATCGCCATGACAACCAGCACCACAACAACAACCTGAACTGCATCTAAAACGTTGACTCTCCGTCGTCTCCCTGCTGAAAGCCTGTGTTTGATTTTAACTCTGCTGCTTTAGCTCCAATAAAGAGGAAAAGAACTCTGTGTTTAACCCCGTCTTACCCCCCACTGTCTCACTGTCCATCTGTCCTCCTGTCTCACTGTCCTCCAGTCTCACTGTCCTCCTGTCTCACTGTTCATCCGTCTCACTGTCCATCTGTCTCACTGTTCTCTTGTCTCACTGTCCATCCGTCTCACTGTCCATCTGTCTCACTGTTCTCTTGTCTCACTGTCCATCCGTCTCACTGTCCATCTGTCTCACTGTCCATCCATCTCACTCTCCATCTGTCTCACTGTCCTCCTGTCGCACTGTTCATCCGTCTCACTGTCCATCTGTCTCACTGTCCATCTGTCCTCCTGTCTCACTGTCCTCCAGTCTCACTGTCCTCCTGTCTCACTGTTCATCCGTCTCACTGTCCATCTGTCCTCCTGTCTCACTGTCCATCCGTCTCACTGTCCATCTGTCTCACTGTCCATCCATCTCACTGTCCATCTGTCTCACTGTTCTCTTGTCTCACTGTCCATCCGTCTCACTGTCCATCTGTCTCACTGTCCATCTGTCCTCCTGTCTCACTGTCCTCCAGTCTCACTGTCCTCCTGTCTCACTGTTCATCCGTCTCACTGTCCATCTGTCTCACTGTTCTCTTGTCTCACTGTCCATCCGTCTCACTGTCCATCTGTCCCACTGTCCTCCTGTCTCACTGTCCATCTGTCTCACTGTTCTCTTGTCTCACTGTCCATCCGTCTCACTGTCCATCTGTCTCACTGTTCTCTTGTCTCACTGTCCATCCGTCTCACTGTCCATCTGTCCCACTGTCCTCCTGTCTCACTGTCCATCCATCTCACTCTCCATCTGTCTCACTGTCCTCCTGTCGCACTGTTCATCCGTCTCACTGTCCATCTGTCCCACTGTCCTCCTGTCTCACTGCCCCCCCCCCCCCCCTGCAGCTCTATAACCCTAACCCTGATCTCAGATCTGTGTTCAGGTGCTCATACAGTCCATCGTTTACTGTGCAAACATTAAAAAGTAAAGACAAATGATTGTCTGTTCACAGAGAAACTGCTAATAAAATATATTCTATTCTGAACAGCGCCCTCTTCCTGTCTGACTCTGAGACCATGACGTCTGAACATGTCCTGACACGGCCCTAATAAAACATAAACCATCGCGGCTAATTAAACATGAGATGATGATCTGTTAGATATGAGGTGCAGTTCCACCTTCTGACCACTGGGTCCATCTTATGAACCATTAACATCTGAGAAAAGAACCTGGTACAACCAGGAATCACAGAACTGATGGTGCAGTACATGTACTCAGAGAGAGTACATGTACATGTACTCTGAGTACATGTACTCTGAGTACATGTACTCTGAGTACCACAGACCACAGCTGTTGTAGCTGCTAAAATATAGTGTAAACTAGTACTTCATGTCCACCTCTGTTGTTACTCACCAACAGTACCAGTGGTATTACTGCTACCACTGGTACTGTTGTGTGGGTGTGGGGGGGGGGGGGGCTCATGTTTCCTGCTGCTGCTGGTCTGGATCACTGACTCTGTTCAGATGAAGTTTCTCTGAGAATGAAAGGAGGTAAAAACACACACACACACACACACACACACTTGTTCTCTCTGTAATTCCCTCTCTCTCTCTCTCTCTCTCTCTCTTTGCCCCATCCCCTTTACCCCCCCCCACCAGCGTCACGCTCCCCTCACTCATCCCACAGCTCTCACTTTCAGTGGGACATGTGGATGAAAGGTGGCGCCGGTGAGCTCCAGTCATTCAGAACCGATCTGGACCAGACTGCGGCTCTAAAGTGCTCCTGGTCCCAGAGTCCAGGACGGTTCTGGTTTCAGGACATCCTGTAGCAGCGGACTCTGGTTCTGCCTGGGTTCCCTCAGACAGCGGCGGCTCACTTCAGGAGGTCACGGAGGTCGTGGTGTGAAAGGAGAGGCTTGTCTCCGTGGCCACGCACCCATCTGTGACCTTTGACCTCCAGGTTATAGCCCAGTCCTTATTCAGTTTGGATTCAACAATTTGAGGACGCTGTGACCTTTGACCTGTCCCCAGGCCTCATTAGGACCTCCTCAGGTCTGTGATGGTGCTGAGACCAGGACTCTGGTCCAGACTGCCTGGTTCTGGTCCAGTTTGGTCCAATCGCATGTCTCCCTGGCCCATCAATGTGTGATGTCATCAAGAC